GCAGGATCCATCCATTCCTGAAGTAGAAAGAAAATAATATATCTTACGTGTCGGATATGAGGACTCCATTCTTGTACCAATGATAAGCTGGTCCACCAAACGCCCCGCATGGCCACTCCAGGCGTGTGTAAAGCGTCGGTTGTAAATCCCTCAGCTCACCATTGACCATCCATGTTGGAGGTTCTAAACAGTCATGACAAATATATATATTTTTAAATTATCTTCTATTTTCCAGCTAGTTTCATTTTGTAATCGTTTGAGCATAGTATTTATTTTACAATATGCTGTCGTGGTTTGTGTCTGAACTACCTGAAAAAGATATCTCAAACGCGGTGGTCCAGTGTAGGCAGTATTCTAATAAGCTGTCGTGGTTTATGTCTGAACTACCTGAAAAAGATATCTGAAACGTGGTGGTCCAGTGTGGGTAGTATTCTACAATAAGCTGTCGTGGTTTGTGTCTGAACTACCTGAAAAAGATATCTGAAACGTGGTGGTCCAGTGTAGGTAGTATTCGACAATAAGCTGTCGTGGTTTATGTCTGAAGACATCTCACATTTTAACTTTCAATTTGAAAGGCTGAGGACTTCAAATACTTGCTGTTCTCGCTGTGTTTATTCCACGGAGTGACTCTGGAACGACGAAAGTTTGGTCCTCTTGGATTCAACATCCCATACGAGTTCACCACTGGAGATCTGAGGATCTGTATTAGCCAACTGAGTATGTTTCTGGACGAGTACGAAGGCGTCCCCTATAAGGTGAGAATAATTGAGGGTTGAATTATTAATAAATTGAATTATTTAGTAATAGTCTTATCTGTGAACATGATTAATTTTCATTTAGTAAAGTCGAACCCCTTTGAGCAGGCACCATTGGGACCTCGCCAGATTAGTTCAAGGAATCGAGCTATTAGGGTTTATACTACATTGATAGAAATACTGCAAAACAATAGCAAATATGTGTCTAGTGAATTTTCTTCAAATTGATTTTCACCATTGATTGTTATGAAAATTTGATTTAGCATATTTACAATCATTACGTTTAAGAGACATTATTCGGCTCATTGGGACGCGAAGTGTCCGCTTAGTAGAGGTATCCACTACAAGGAATTTTATTAAAGAGATCATTGGGACCAATAGGTGTACGGCGGTAGCTTTATACTGGATAGCTGTATTAGTTCTAAACTGTTCTTCCTATGCTAAACTATTCTCCCTATAGCTCTATCATATCTCCATATAGCTCTACTAGTTCTAAACTGTTCTATATGGCTCTACTAGTTCTAAACTATAACTATATCTCCATATAGCTCTATTAGTTCTAAACTGTTCTATATAGCTCTATTAGTTGTAAACTATAACTATATCTCCATATAGCTCTATTAGTTCTAAACTGTTCTTCCTATGCTAAACTATTCTCCCAGCTCTATTTTATCTCCATATAGCTCTATTAGTTCTAAACTGTTCTATATAGCTCTATTAGTTCTAAACTGTTCTTCCTATGCTAAACTGTTCTCCCTATTTTCAGGTATTAAAATACACGGCAGGTCAAATCAATTACGGAGGGCGTGTCACGGATGACTGGGATAGGCGGTGCATCATGACAATCTTGGCCGATTATTATCAACCAGATGTTCTGGAACCTGGCCACAAGTTCTCTGAGGCTGGAGTTTACCATCAGTTGAAGGGCGAGACACCCCATGAGGTAATGAGATGATTATGAATCATTCTCAAAATCAATTGCTGCTGAATTAAAATAGTTTCATTCCATATCGGTTTTTCCATGATGAAATATGCTATCGAAAATACCTATCAAGCCACCTTAATTAGCCATAAGATAACAAACTCAATTGTATAATACATCTCATCCATTGTACCCTAGGGCTATCTTCACTATATTCGAGGTCTACCCATCAACGACACGCCAGAAATATTCAGTCTACACGATAACGCCAACATCACCTTCGCACAGAATGAAACTTTTGATCTCTTACATGGAATATTGACTATGCAGCCCAAGACTACTGCGGGCGCAGGGAAATCACGCGAAGAGGTTGGTAACTAAAAACAACTGATCAATTGGATAGCTCTAGCAGTTCTAAACTGTTCTTCCTAAAGGTCCAGTAAGAGTCATCTCTTATTGATCCAGTGTTAGAGTATAATTTGACTATATTTCAAAGTCTTCTTCAAACAATATATATATACATTTAGTTTAGTTTAGGTTTCCTCCTTTAGTAACACTGGATCAATAAGAGATGATCCTTACTGGACCTCTAGGAAGAACAGTTTAGAACTGATAGAGCTATCGAGTATAAATAAAGTTAGTTTAGTTTAGGTTTCCTCCTGTAGTAACACTGGATCAATAAGAGATGATCCTTACTGGACCTCTAGGGAGAACAGTTTAGAACTGATAGAGCTATCCAGCATAAATAAAATTAGTTTAGTTTAGGTTTCCTCCTGTAGTAACACTGGATCAATAAGAGATGATCCTTACTGGACCTCTAGGAAGAACAGTTTAGAACTGATAGAGCTATCCAGCATAAATAAAGTTAGTTTAGTTTAGGTTTCCTCCTGTAGTAACACTGGATCAATAAGA